ACAATATTCTGTCTGTGTGTATGCCTGCAGGCCAGAAGAGGGCACCAGACCCCATTACAGATGGCTGTGAGCCACCATGTGGTTGCTGGGAATTGAACTCAGGACCTTTGGAAGAGCAGGCAATGCTCTTAACCTCTGAGCCATCTCTCCAGCCCCTTATCCATAGTTCTTAATGTGTGTATTTGTGTTTGTGTGTGAAGGCCAGGGGACAACCAAAGATATGTGTTCTCACTTTCTCCCTGTGTGAGACAGGGTCTCTGTTGTCAACCTCTGTGCACACAGACCGGATAACCCACAAGCTTCTGGAGCTTTTGTCTGCCTTCATAGCACTAGCAGTATAGACATGTGACTTTACCACCCCTGACTTTATACAGGTTCTGGGAAATTGAATTCATGTCCCCACGCTTGCGCAGAAAACCGTCTTCCAGCATCCATCATTCTTAATTCTTACACATGCAAGGTTTTTTTGTTTGTTTGTTTTGTTTTTGTTTTTTTCAGACAGGATTTCATCTGTAGCTTTGGAACCTGTCCTGAAACTCACTCTGTAGATCAGGTAGGCCTTGAACTCGTAGAGATCTGCCTGCCTCTGCCTCCCGAGTGCTGGGATTAAAGGTGTGCACCACCACCTTTAATTGCAAATTTTACCAAAATGTAACGGTTTGAGTTCATCCCTTTGCATGTTTTTATGCCCCTGGTGTTCCTTAGGAAGCTGTGTGGTAGACCATATTGCTGTCCGACACTCACCGCTGTTATTACTTTTCTTGGGTTCATCTTTTTTCATGTTATGAATAGCTCTACTCTGACTAACTAAACAGATGACTAACTCCCCTCTGGGTGTTACAGTCTCTCAAAGTGGATGGCGAAGGCCAGAGTGTGTGCGCATGCATGTAGCCTGCATGGCTGCTGCAACACTTTCCGGGGTAGCATTTAAGGCCTGCTGTATTCTAAACCATAACTGACTGGTTCTCTTTCCATCTCCCAGAAGCTAATCGCTTCTTTGGGCCATTTCAGCATTCTTTTGATGGAATACAGCTGTCGACGTGTTTCTAGTCATAATGCATATCCTAGGAAACATGCCAGTTTCCTGCTGCTATTTGTAGTGATATTTTGTTTGTGTTTTCACAAATAAAGCTTGCCTAAAGATCAGAGTGAAGAGCTAAGCCACTGGAGGCCAGGTGGTAGTGGTTCACACCTTTAATCCCAGCACTAGGGGGCTGGGACTGGGATTATGACTGGGTGGAGAAAGGAGACAGGAGCTCGTTGCAGTCTGAGGACAAGATCTTCCCTTCGGTCTGAGCATCGGTAGAGAAAGGTCTCTCTAGTGACTGACCGCTCTGCTTTTCTCTGATCCTTCAGCCTTCACCCCCCACGGCTAATTCTGGGTTTTTGTTATTAAGAACAATTAGAATTCATGCTACAGTTACTAGTGTCTTCTCACATTTCCCTGGGCAGAACCTTTGTGTTTCCATGGCCAAATCCGTTCTTAGTCCCTGGTGTGGTCATCTCTTCACAGCAGTCAGCACTGGGTGCCACTCCTCCGGTCAGCCGGGCCCCTCCTGCAGGAGGCA